GGAGACCCAGTACTCATTTGATCTGCAGCTTGCTAAAGGTAATTAGAAAGAAATCATCTTTCATTCCTTTAGAGACAGCATGAAAAGTCAGCTGAGTACAAAACATAGAGAGGAAAACAAGAAGAAAAGGGACAAGAAGAGAGGGACAAAACCTAGAACAGATAATGGAAGTCTATTCTATTAACATTTCTCTATCTGTAGAATGGGTCTGCTTTATGTGTTGTCTTCTCAGTTCAGAGGGCCCCCTGCCTGTCTTTGCCTGGGGCCCCACATTTCCTAAATCCGCCCCTGACTCAGATGTTTTTGTGTTTGCAGAGGATGCTAAAAGGATCGCGATCAAAGAGGAGCAAGTGGATCCAGAATATGAAAGCTGCAGTGGGCTTAATGACGGAGAAAGGGGGGGCACCTGAGAAAGAGGAGGGGGAGAAACGGGCCATCTACTGTAGCACTCAGGTAGGGGGGGGTTCTGTGAACGCAAAATGTTACTAAAGACTCCTGTTCAAAGCAGGTTGAACATGTGGGTTGGTGTCTAAACAGACAAAATATCGCACTGATCACCATATTCCTATTAGTGAGGGAAAAATTCACAAGAATCATATATTTCTAACAGTTACCAATTTAAAACTGTAAACTATTAACCATATTGATTCCCCTCAATGCTGCACTGACCTTGAACTTTACAAAGAGGTTTGTTTACATGTATGAGGTAAGGTGGGACAAAATGGTCATGAGTGGGTCTCACACAGGAGAACCATTTGGCAAATGTTAAACTGCTTGCAGCTGAAGCGTAATCGCACACCGGGCCTCTATCAGTATAAGGTATGGATTATATTCAAATCAATGCAATAATATCCTTTTGATGGTAGTACATTTATACCATCATTTTTAGCTTCCTTTCTCTGGAGTTCGTATTCATAACTTTTCTTAAATAGCTCTTAAAGAGACATTGAATTCAATTCAGTTTATTTATATAGGTGCCAATTCACAACACATGTCATCTCAAGGAACTTTACAGAGATAAATCAACCAGATCATACAGTCAGATTGGTCATTTCCGTTGTTGCTAGTTTTCTATCTAAGCAAAAACAAGCTGATTGCATAGACTCATTGACTCTTCAGCAATCCCTCACACTAAGCATGCTTGTAGCGACAGTGGA